ATTGATTGGTGTTTCTAATATTTGTCTTTCCATAGTATGAAGTCTGTATATATCTGGTACTATTCTTTGATAGATAAAATAAGATCTTTTTCATTTTTGTAAGAATTTTCTGGTAAAACTCTTATCTCTAGCAGTATTATAGCACAAAACTTGTTCTTCTTTTTTAAACAGTTTTCTTACTTTCTTTATCTTGCTGTCCTAGTAAAACTTTTGTTATTGTTGTGATCTATCGATATTGTTTTTAGCTTTTTCTCTTTTAGAGAACAGATCTTCTACAAGAGTATATAATCTTGTCAAAAGAGTTTCTTCTAATATTTCTTGAGATTCGGAAATAGATAATTTGGTTTTCTTTCTATTTAAATAGTTTACATTTCTTGCACAGTATTTATTAAATCTGCCAGTACTAGGCTATATACGTGTCTTAAATTTTTTTTTGAATAAAATACTTAAATTAGTAAAATAGATAGCACATTTTAATTTTCTAACAAATTTGTTCCTCCAGAATTATATATATATCTTGTTGGTTGTTGCAAAAGTAGGTATCTGAAGGTTCTACATACTTTGGTCTTGATTGTGATTATTTTTTTAACCAGTATCTCTAACCACAGCTTCTTATTATTTTTAGATTCTAATATAATTACTCTTGTTTCAGTTATGGTACTGTTTGTTTCATTTGAATTTTGTGGCTCTTTTGCAAATTCTAATCTTCATTCAATAACCTTTTTCTTATCTTTGAAAGTGTTTATACTACTTTGATAATATCTTTTATGATTATCTTGTCTGTTCGAATCACTATCTTTAGCAGAATTCCGAGACTATTCTAATATTTTGTACTTACTCCTTTTACTTGGTTCAAATTTATCTATAAACTTTTTGACTTTTTTCTTCCAAGAATTATACATGGTGTCCAAGGGTTCTTTAATATTAGTAGGTATTTGTACTTTGACTTTACTTTCTTTTAATATCTTCACTTTGTTAATGAATTTTTCTGCTTTTTCCATAATGCTGATACATCTTTCTTCCTTGATTATTTTGTCTTGA